GGGGGGGAGGAAAGGGTTGTGGAAAGAATAGCAGAAACAAATTTCGATATCAGTTATTCCTCGCTCTTCTTCATCTGGAGACAATTTTACCCCGAAGCTGGAGGCCTGTCACTGACAGAAAAATTATCTTCTCCATTTTACCCCTTGTTCTCAACATTCCTCCTGCATCGAAGATATGTTGTACCGCCAAATCAAATTACTTCTTCTACCACTACTACTGCTACTTTCTCCTAGTAGTCCCAGAGAGTTAAACTCGATCGAAAAAGGAATTCTCCTTTCGAGGCGACGTAAAGGTCTTTAATTGTTAGTTTTGAGAGTCTGAATGTTCATCTCGTAAATCTGGCCTAGATGTGTTGATTAGTCTGTTCTCATCACCTGTTTCCTTGATAATGTATCTATTTTAAGGAGAACTTATACATCACGAACACTTTGGCATCGAGTGTCGAGTTCGTTTGCCTTGAAGAAATATTAACTGAGGCGCTGGGCTTTTCCGAAACGGAATCTTTGAACATATAAAGTGCCGGCAAGAACGCTGATTTGATCTTTCAGTAAAATTAATTGGTGCACGTTCTGGCTTATTGTCTGTGTTCACTTAACCACAGCTGTGGAGGTCCAATATTCAATTTATATTTTGACCACTTCCTGATATTTTAGTCGGCTAGGGACGGCGGTTTTCATTAGTTTTGTACATAAACCTCAGGCCGCTTGAACAGTTGAAACTCTAAACGTGGCACTTGGCAAAGGTGCTTTTTTCACGACAACCAGATTGGGTCGTCAAAAATGTAATTCCCTTTTAATTCTGCTTTAAGAAACTTTAAACATCGTTTGCCGATGATGGTGAAGGCAAATGGTCCTGTTTGGAAGATGTTTGCATTTTGTATAAACAAGCTTATGAAAAATGTACAGGGGTGTGTTTGAAAAACAGAGAGGGACAGATGGTCAATTCCCATGGCGAGAAAATAGAGATCTACAAAACCTTAAGACGCGTATAGGTGCATTTAACTCGATTACAATATATCATAAATCTTTTATTCAAAATCGCTCAACCTTTTACTGCTTAACGAAACAGAGATAATGTCACCGGATTCTCGACAAAGAGAGAATAAAAATCTAAAGTTATGACGTGATGTCATGATTGATTAGTAATAATTCTACATCACCTGTGTGAACAAAAAAA